CTTGTAGTTAGAGACATTGAATTCTAGTCTGCAATAAAAAAATAGCTAATTTTAATTTTTCTGATTTTATAATAATGTAAATGTGAATCATTTAAATACTTTATTATATCTCACTGTTGTTATTCATCTCTCTTGCCTTTGTATCTGCTCTTCCTTCTGCCGGGATGCTCTTCCCTCCCCAGTCCCCGCCGTGGCTCACTCATGCTCCTTTGTCAGGTAACCTTACATTTCCAGTAGTTCACAGAGGTCTCTCCCACACCCATCACTCTTTTCTGCTTCTTGAGAACAGAAAACGCTTATTGTTAACTCTTGGGGCCTAGGTAGCCTTCTTGCTTAATGATGTCCTGGCACATAGTGAGCCCTCAGTAAACGTGGTGGATGAATTTTCCAAGTGCATTTTTAATGTTTGGAACAACACTTAATTCATTATATGTCTCCATCTTACATATTGGGTTACTATGAGTCTACTTGTACTTCTAATCAGAATTTCCCTTAGAAATTATATTATTTGAGAATACAATCAAGTAGATTATAAAAGAGTTAATCAATTTATAATATATCTAAAGCAATGCTTGAAACATAGTAATCAGATATTTCATAAGCTTCCTTTACTGCAATGTGGAGTTCATTTATGAATTTATTTCCCTAGATTTTTATGCCACTTAGCAATTTACCAAGTGCTTTCATTTATATTATCTCGTATTATCTCATTTGATCCTCTCATTAACCCTAGCAAGTGTTTTCCCTATTTCCTACGTGTCAGGATTGATTATGTAAGTAGTCCAGTGTCACACAGAAAGTTAGCTGAGAGCTCAGATTAGTATGCAAGTCTTTTGCTGCTGTGTTTTTTTTCCTTTATGCCTGTGGGACTGAAGGCAAAGAAAAGCCATCAGCTCAGAGGGACAAAAGCACAAATACGGGTTTCAGGCAGAGTGATAAATGAGAGAGAAAATGTTCATGGAGAATCACAGGCTTTAAAGTTGCCTTTAGCTGAAGAATAGGTTGTGATGTTGGAAGTAAGAGATAAGATTAGAAAAGCAATTGGAATCAGTGTCGGGGACAAGTGAAAGATTTGGGACTTTATATTGTGAGAAATGAGAGATACTAAAAAACCTGTGACTGGGATCGAAGATCATAACTCTGCTTTAGGACCTACCAGTACTGTATGGGATGAATTTGAATGAGAGGGAAGCTAGAAGCAACATGGCTCGAAGCAACTCACGATATTTCAGGTGAAAAAATAATTCAGTTCTGGACCACCAACATAAAATTTAGTCAGAAAAGGAAACAGTGGATCAATTCTTGGAACATGAGCAAAGTCTGGCAACTAAATAGATATGTGAAACAGTGGAAAAGGAAGAAACAGAGCTGCATTGTTTACAGTGGTGATGGACAACGTGCTCCTGCCACTTCCCTGGCCCTCTCTCCTTCTGTGACCCTTATTCTCCTGTGTGATAGGGTGTTTCAATTGACCATATTAGTGCCTCATTTGTGAACTTAGTCAACGTGTATTAATGAACACTTTCTGTGTAATGCTAGCATTTTGCTAGGTATTAGAGCCTCAATCCTTGCCCTCAATGAATTCATAGTCTGGTGGTGGAAACTGTCAAGTAAACAGTTCTGTGAAGGATTTATTGCTGTTGGTACCTCATGCCATTGGGGCACAGAGGGGCATCCAGTTCAGCCTACATAGGTCAGGAAGAATTCTTAGTCCCTTGTGTTGAAGGAGGAGTTGGTATGGTGAAGAAAGTCAGAAGGATGGAGTGTGTAGAAAGAACAGCATGATCAAGGGCGTGATGTAGAGAACATGGAACCGACGTGTAAGTTACTCAGTGAGCCTGAACATGCCAGCATCTATCTCCAAAGGACAGTGAGATCATCCTACCTAACCCTAATGCCATTGTCACACCCAGACAGCTTAACATTGGTACAATATAGTTATATAATTCTATTTGAAAATTGTCCCAATTACCCCAAGAATGTGATTTAAAACTCTTTTTTACAACCCAAGAGCTACTCAAAGACATGTGTGCATGTAGTTCTTTAACGTCCTTTTGTCTAGAGCAGCTCCCAGACCGCAGCCATTTCTTGCTTCATGGTATTGATGACTTTTAAGAACCCGAGCCAGTTGTTTCACAGAATGTCCCTCATGTTGGATTTTTATGACTTTTCCCTCACATTCAGATTCAGGATGTGCAAAGTACTACACAGGTTATATTGTGTTTGTCTCTGTGCATCACTTCAGAAGAATGTTATCAGTGTATCCCATTAGGTGTCGAATTTGATTACTTGAATAAGGTGATATCTGCCAGCTTCTTCCATATCCTGTTCCCCCATAGCCTTATACACAGTGGTTTTGCAGCCATTGATGATTTCTGCCTGAATCAATTCTTACTATGTGAGTTGTCACATCTACTGGTTGACATTCTTCTGTAAAGAAGAGCTTTCTCTTCCCCCATATTTATCTTTATTGTTTTAGTCTAAGTATGGATGCATGATTCTTGTGATAATTTATTCCCATCATTACTCATTTAATGCTCAAATTGTCCTAAGTTTGGCCAAGGCTATCCTCCAGTCTGGCTCCCCTCTGACCTTTGACACATCCCTGTCTGTCTGTGAGTACTTCATTATTTTCTGATACGACCATATGTTCTTCAGGATCCTGCCGAGCCTGAGAGGAATGGGTGGGAGATGCAATAAAAACACAGAGATCAAAGTTGGGATAGGATGTCCACGCACCACTGATGGCGGACCAGTGGCGCACTTTTAATTCTTTGCACATCTTATATACACAGGCTCACTTTCGTGTGCTGCCTGCAATGTTTGCTTCTGGCTTTTCTCAGAGCTGTCTTCCTGTTGCCTTTTAAACTAGTAGCCTGCAGCTTTCTTTGTACTCCCACTTCAACTGGGATCAGGAGAAGCAAGACATTCCCTGAAATTTCTTGCAGGATGTGGGGCTTTGCCTCTCACATCCAGCTCTCCACAATGTTCCTGGCTCATTTCATACTTTCATGGTCTCAGTCCTAGAATGAGCCATTTTCTCTATGTATTCTGGCTCCTGTTAGTAATAATATTTAGAAACCAAGATCTGAGGGGCCAGGTGCACTCACTGCTACCACAGCTTCGTTACTCCTGAGCTCTTTTGGATTGCAAAGCTTGGAAAACTTTTTTAAAACCTTGAGCTTGTATGACACCTGTAAATCCAATCCATTTCATGGCTCTTCCTCGCTTTCTCCCGTTCTGTACTTGTATTTCCTTTTTTCCACAGTGTTGACTCTTGTTGCCAACAATATCAACATTTTTACCCATCTGCTCAGTCTTAATAATACACACATAATAGTTCCAGAATCACTATGTCAATACCACTACGAACAGCCAAATTTTCTTTGTAAAGTTCTTTTTTTCCTTAAAGTGTATGCTATTAATTTCATGCTTACTTTCTCAAAGTATTAGATTTTTTAAATGTTTCTTTTTACTAATAAAATATATTAACAACTTTAAATATTTGGTATTTAAAGTTCTTTTTAGGAAAAATGTAATTGAGTTTGAGTATAAATTATGAAAGGGAGCTAGGTATTTACTAGTTCAAGGGTCTGAAATATTTAATGTATGTTAATTAAAATAGCCATCAAGCCATGATGACAAGTAGTGATTTTACAGCATCTTACTATGTTGATGGACAGTGACTGTGAACGGGGATGTGGGGGGGACTTGGTGAAGGGGGGAGCCTAGTAAACATAATGTCCTTCATGTAATTGTAGATTAATGATACCAAAATAAATAAATAAATAAATAAAATAGCCATCAAGCCACTTTAGAGTTAAATTTACATGTAAATTAACAAGCTCCAAATACTATATTTGTCACCCACCTTTTTTGATTACACCTACAAGGTTTAGTGCTTTTCTAAAAATGTGAAATATAACCAGATGGAAAAGGACCGATACATATTTATATTTGTATATCTGTTTATAAACTGTAAATGAATATGTTATTTGTATTCCATTGCATTCATTTGTCATCTGTTCCCTATAAAGGGATTGCATCTCAAAACAAAGGAAGGGAGGAAGGGAACAAGAGAGAAACAAACATCCAGAGGAAAATAGTTTTCTTTTACTTTAAATGAAACTATACCAGACATACAATTACCTCTTTCAGATGAACAAAAAAATCTTTGTCATTCCTTGAATTTGGGTTGAGCCAATAATTTCTTTGAAGTTTTTTTCCTTACTTCCTTTGAATAATATTTAGCATTGACAACAAAAAAGGCTACAAGTATTACAAGGTTATCTGTTATTTGTAGAAAGAACTGGCTCTCTAACCACATCCTTCATTAAAAATGTACAGCATATCAATCAAATTAATCACCTGAGATGCAGTACTTTGGACTTCTGAGAGCTTCTATTGGTTTATTTTTCATTAAAAAAAATTAAAGTTTATAGTGACTGTTCTGTGTCACCTAAAGTCAGAGGAAGATTATCCTTTGATGTGAAAAATCAGTTGTTGGGAGCATTTTCACAAAAGTTAGTCTGAAAATTACAATTTTGAACACTAAGTTGAGGCAGCAGAATCTCAATAACGACAACAAAAACATTCTCCTACACCTGGTCGATTTCAGAATAGAAGCTGATGCTTTGAAAATAACCCATTTCTACAAGGGAAATATGATTTATGATAACCTGAGACACAAATATGACCAGAACCACATTCCTTTTAAAGTTATTGCACCACTGGACTATAAAAGTGGTGCTCTGAAGTGAATCCATGGAATTCGGTCATCTTTAGTGGACAGTAACACAGGCACTAATGAGACAGATTTCATTAAAAGATATTTGATTTATGAGAGAGTGAAAGTCCTATCTTATTTTGAAATTGCTGGTTTAGTTCTGGCTTGTGATCTTTTTTCCCCCTACCATCACCATCACCAGTTTCTGTGTATGCTTTGACATTGCTATGGAAACCCTGAGGGCTGATGGAATTCCCTGCATCTCTTTTCACAGAGGGTGACGAGACAGGAGTGATGGATAGTCTGCTGGAGGCACTGCAGTCAGGGGCCGCCTTCCGCGACCGAAGAAAAAGGACTCCGAAGCCCAAAGGTGAGCATTGTATTTGTTTCATGTTATTTCCTAGGAAAGTATCAGAAAGAACAACCTTTTTCTCTTTCTTAAATTCTTTTAAAGTCATATGTCAAGAATGGAATGCTGAGGGCAACAGCCCTTCAGAAGTTTCATAAAGTTTGCATAATCTTTCCCTTCAATGACAAATGTCAGAGAGCAAAGCATTCCAATTGGCTGATGACAGTAGCACATTAACAAATCAGTGCACTGAACCTTGAAAATCCTGATTAGTGTGACAAGTCTCAATGAAAGAACCATACGCACCTTATCCCATTGGCATTTAGAGTAGCATAATTAAGTGGGAAGTAAAAGTCATAACATTATAGCTTCAAGTACTTCAGGCTATTGAAGCATTCCTTTGGTTCCAGAAATACTTAATCTTGGAAAAAAAAGTCTAACATTGTTATATTTCTTGAGATGAACAAACCTCTACATTAACTTTCTTTTATGCCTTTTTTAACAGATACTCAGCAAAGTCTCAGTCCAGTGTCTCAGAGGCCTGTCCTGAAAGTTTGTAACCATGGTAATAAACTGAATTCATAAATCGCACATTCTTCTTACCTACTTTTATCCTGTTGATCATTGATTTTAGTAGGCTGCTGTGCAGTTCTCTAGTTTCAGTATAACGAAAATAGTAAAAATGTGTGGATGTACTTATTTGCTGTGAGATTGTGTACCTGTATTTTCCATCTTTACTTTATTGCTTTGAGGTGGTATCTAGGGTCCTTCTATCAGGTCTGCAGTGAATTTTTAAAATTATTATTATTTGAAGTTACCTCACACATTTCTGATCAGTGTTGTCCAGTGTATCTTTTCAAAAGAAGTATGTCCTCATTATACTATTTTAAGAAGTGGATTTACTTTACATCAAGATAAACATCTGAAATACCGGATCTGTTGCCTATTTTACTCTACCATATTTGCCAGTAGAGTTTGAAGTACTGTGACCAGCGTTTTGGTGAAATCATTAATACGGATGAGCTTCTTGTGGTATTGTGAAAGGTGGTGCTAGAATCACCAAAAAGGAGGTGAGTTACCTTAGTCTTTGATACTTATCTGAGATTGACTCCTTTCAAAAATCCCTGAGCGACTTTGTACGGTAACGTTATGGAGACTCCTTCTTCTCGTCAAGGAATTAGTTCGTGTTGACTGGGTTTTATTTATGTTGTTTCCCTTTCCCTCACTGTTATCCAATATGGGGTTCTGCTTAACTTCCATAGTGAAAAAACATGCATCTGTTGTGGTTGCCATTTTCTCAGAGTGAGATTGTCGCCAAAGTTCTCCAGGTTCTTAAGCAGAAAAATACTTGACAGATTTAATTCAGGAGTTGTTCTGAGTGCAGATGAGTTAAGTTCTAGAAATATTAATGTGTGGCTGAGCAGAGAAACTTGTATCAAATTTCTAGGATAGCCTAAAAAGTTTATGAGGTGAATAATAAAAAGACATGAATGTAGTGATCTGCTAATAGCCATGTAAATCTTTACTGTCTAAAGAAATGTATTTATCGTAGATGCTTAATAAATGAGAGGAAGGGTTAAAAATTTGCAGTAAAATTTTAAATAGATCTTTAGACTCTTTCCAAAAGTGTTTTTATTATTGTTTTGTCTTTCCCTTCCCTAAAAATAAGAGACAAGAATTGTAATATGTCAGAAAAATTCATTACATAATTAAGTCACTCCTAACTTTGGGCTTATGACTTAGACTCACTGTGACATATGAAATAATGGTGAAAAGTATAGAGAGCAAGCTATCCTGGACCTTAGAGATTATTTTATTTTGTGAGTGAATAAGAAAGTAAGAAAAAACTGAAAACTTCCCAAGAAGAGTTTTAGTTAGTTAGTGACAGAAACATGACCACCATACAGTTTTGTTTCCCATTGTATTTCTTTCTTGATTACATATAGATGCATTGATTACTTTTTGTTAATAAACTATTAAACAGTACAATCCCCATCATGAATTATTAAGGAATACATCCACAGCCAACACAAGTGAACATGATATAAATATAATGACATGTATATACCCATATCATGCTTAATTTAAAATAAATATTTTAGGTATTATATAGGAAAAAATTATTTAAGATGAATTTGTACAGTGGCCTTGGGGAACTCAGTCCTTTTCTGATTGTAATGTTGACAAAGTGCCCAGGCTTATAGAGGCTCATTGATAGTTACTTATAAATTGTGATGTTTCAGTCCATTATGTAAAAGTAGGTGAGCATTGAATTTCTATCTTTACTAAAACTAATATGTACTATCTTATGCTCTAAGGCTATTGTGATAACTAAGCTAATAGGTTATACAGCAAGCCATAGAAGATATATCACAATGATCAAATTCTCTGTTCTAACATAAATGCAGTTGATTATAGCCTTTTTAAACTTATTTTCTATGGATAGTTCTATTGTGTGTTCCTTTCACATTTCTAACAAGGTGGGAAAAAAATCCAACTGACCAAATTAATCTTTAAGAACTGTGTGTATAAAGGTAGACTTACTAGGCTTGATGTTGAAAAATACTGAATTTGATTAAGGAAAGTGTCTTAGTTGCAGTTATGACCATGATCACTTTTAAAAAGTGATGATGTGTCAGAGTTCATTTTGCAGTCTTACTATGTCTAAAAATTCCTTTTTGTTTTCATTGAAAGTGCTAACCCTGCAACTGAACTGTGATCGAAATTGAACTCCTTTTACTTTTTAATGTTATGTTTACACTATAATGTAGTATATTTAGTGTGCAATAGCAATGTCTAAAAAAAACAGTGTACATACCTTAATTAAAAAGTACTTCATTGCTAAAAATGCATATCATCATCTGACTTTTCAGGAGGAGTAATCTTTTTGCTGGTGGAGGGTCCTGCCTCAGTGTTGATAATTGATCAGGGTGGTGGTTGCTGAAGTTTGGTGGTGGCTGTGACAGTTTCTTAAAATAAGACAACAGTGAGATTTGCTGCATTGATTGACTCTTCCTTTCATGAAAAATTTCTCTGTAGCATGCAGTGCAGTTGGTAGCATTTTACCCACAATAGAACTTCTTTCAAAATTGAAGTCAGTCCTTTCAAACTCTGCTGCTGCTGCCTTATCACCTTAGTTTGTGTAATATTCTAAGTCCTTTGCTATCATTTCAACAATCTTCACTGTGTCTTCCCCAGAAGTAGATTCTATTTCAAGAAACCACTTTCTTTGCTCTTCCATAGGGAACAACTCCTGATCTGTTCAAGTTTTATCCTAAGATTGTAGCAATTCAGTTGCATCTGTAGGTTCTACTTCTACTTCTAGTTCTCTTGCTATTTTCACTACACCTGAAGTTACTTCCTCCACTGAAGTCTTGAACCCCTCATAGTCAGTCATCCAGGAGAGTTGGAGTCAACCTCTTCCCAACTGCTGTGAATGTGGATGTTTTGACCACTTCCCATGAATCATGAATGTTCTTAATGACATTTAGGATGGTGAGTCCTTTCCAGAAGGTTTTCTGTTTACTTTGCCCAGCTCCATCAGCGGAATCACTATGTATGGCAGCTATAGCCTTACAAAATGTATTTCTTCAGTAATAAGACTTAAAAGTCAAAATTACTTCTTGATTCATGGGCTACAGAATGAATGCCATGTTAGCAGGCATAGCAACAGTGTTAATCTCATTGTACATCTTCATCAGAACTCTTGGGTGGCCAGATGCGTAGTCAGTGAGCAGTGGGTCTCATCCATGAACCATGTAATAAACAGCTTTGCTGTCATCCAGGCTTTCTTACTTCATTTAGAGAGTACAGAGTTAGCATAATTTTTAAGGACCCTAGGATTTTCAGAATGGTTAATGAGCACTGGTTTCAACTTACAGTCACCAGCTGCATTAGCCCTTAACAAGAGAGTCATCCTGTCCTTTAAAGCTTTGAAGCCAGACATTGACTTCTTTCTAGCTATGAAAGTTCTAAATGGCATCTTCTTCCAATATAAAGCTTTGTTGTCTACACTGAAGTTCTAATATTTACTGTAGCCGACTTCATTCATGATTTTAGCTAGATTTTCTGAATAACTTGCTGTAGCTTCTACTTGCTGCTTCACCATGGACTTTGATATTAGGGAGATGGCTTCTTTTGTTAAACCTCATGGACCAACTTCTGCTAGCTTCAAACCTTTCTTCTGCAGCTTCCACACCTCTCTCAGCCTTCACAGAATTGAAGAGAGTTAGGACCTTGCTCTGGATTAAGTTTGGGCTTAAGGGAATGTTGTGGCTGGTCTGATTGTCTATCCAGACCACTCAAACTATCTACACATCTGCAATAAGGCTGCTTTGCTTTCTTATCATTCATATGTTCACTGGAGTAGCACTTTTAATTTCCTTCAAGAACTTTTCTTTTATATTTACAACTTGCTATTAGGCACAAGAAGCCTAGATTTTGGCCTGTCTCAGCTTTTGACATGCCTTCTTCACTAAGCTTTATCACTAAGCTTTTGATTTTGAGAGAGAGATAGGCAACACTTCCTTTCACTTGAAAAGGTAGAGGCCATTGTAGGGTTATTAATGGTCCTAATTTCATTATTGTTGTGTCTCAGGGAATAAAGAGGCCTGAGGAGAGGGAGAAAGACAGGAGAATGGCAGGTTAGTGGAGCAGTCAGAACACACCCAATATTTATTAAGTTTGCTATCTTCTCTGTGTGGTTCCTGGCACCCTAAAATGGTAACAGCAGTAACATCACTGATCACAGATCTCCATAACAAATGTAATAATAATGAAAAAGTTTGAAATATTATAAAAATTACAAAAAGACAACACAGAGACAGGAAGTGAGCAAATGCTGTTGGGAAAATGGTGTGGTTAGATTTGTTCTACACAAGTTTGCCACAGCCTGCAATTAGTAAAGGATTTGAAGTAAAGTCAAGCACAGGAAAACAAGGGATGCCTAGCAAAATTAGGTCTCCCAATGTCACCCAAATAAGTAGGATTTAATATGCCAATTGCTAAATCTCCAGCTGTGAACACAGTTAACCCCCTCTCATCTCCTCCCTAAAATGTTATCTGTCCTCAGATAAAGAGATATTTGAACATCACTGGTCTCTGCTTCAAAAGGTTACTTGATCAAACAGTGAAGAGCATGGTTCAATCTTGATTGGATTATTCACTCCTTAGAAGTGGAGGGTTACTTACTAATTATATTTCTTTCCTTTGCTTAATCAAGGAAAGTTTAAAAACAGTTAATATAACAAAAGAAGACATCTGCTAATGAATACAGGGCATTATCTAATTTCTTAACGCGATGCATTCTAAACCTAAAGATTTCCTATAGTCTACAGAGTAGAGTAATAAATTTCCTTTTAAATCAAAATATTCAGAACATTTATTAGTGCATTTTTATAAAAATCAGAAATACTGTAACTGGGTACTGGTGAATTAACTAACTGGCCTAGTTGAAAATAAAGGTCTGGATAGAGAAGAAGTATATTAAGTGTCTGATGCCAGACCAAGAATTTGGACTATTGCCCTGCTTGACCAGGAAACTGACAGGTCTAAGCAGTTTGTATG